TCTTCCTAAGACGGACCACGATTTACCTAAAAACTGTTCCCAAAATTCACGCATATTTCCAAATTAAAATAATTAGCGCCTATCTAGATCGATAATAGTGATCGATAATAATGATCGATAATAGTAATAATCGATTTATAGTGTATGTGTGTGTATATATCACAAACAAAATTTTTATTTATAAAGTAAGTGTAATATTTAAGAAATAACATTTTCTATATTGTATGTATGATATATTTTAATAACATCTTTTATTTTAAATGCTCTATTTATATTTTTATATCCAAGAAGATAACAATCTCCTGCAAAATTATATTTTATTTGTAAAATAACGTTTAATACACACACACATATATATCTTTTTATATATGTTTTCTACATATTCGCCTCTTTAAAAATTGATAACAATGTACCTCGCTCATGTAAGTCCGGTTCATGTAGGGAATAAAAAACGCCGCCATACTCTTGTGAGCTATAAGCAGTAGAACGCTGTTTAAAAATCGAATACCATGAAGCGACGCTATGTCGCCCTGCGGTCTTTCCAATGAGAAAAGTTTCTGAGCGTTACGTTTCAGAGAGAATGATAAAAGCAATTCACTGGCTGATATTTTGTAATGATCATAATACGCAGCTACGAGAGTCAGGATGAACACGGCGGCGAAGAGAAGACTGTGGAAAGTGATATGAAAATTATATCTAACTTTTGAAAGTTTAATTAAGAGTCGGCAATAATTATCTAGTTCGGGAAAGAAGCGAATTTAGAAAGATTGGCGGAAATTTATTATAAATAATTGAATAAGTTTCTGTCAACATTTTAATATTCGCTTATTTTTTACGGGATATGTCATAATGCAAGTGCTTTTCACAATTAAAGTATTTTTTTTTACCTGGTAGCGATGGTCGCTTTTGATAGAACAAGTTCCTTTTTCACTTGACACATCTCTTTGTCCACATGCAGCCTAATTTTGAGACCAGTTTGAGACGTGTACTTGGAGATAGCATATTGAAGAGAGGCTTTCACGTCTTGGGCTGTACATGATGCGGGTGTGCATACGGCCCAATTTACTGTGCTAAAACGCGGTACTCTGTGACCAGGCTGAATATCAAAATAAACGATGTCAAGTCTTAATTTTGCGTTATAGTACAAAGCTGTCGGTTAGATTACAAAGGTAAATCTGCGCCGCAACGTAGACAGATACTTAGAATTATATATTACCGAAAAATTAGATATATATATATAAGCGATGTAGGAATCTTGTAAATGTTGCAATTGATATGAAGTTGATAAATTAGTTTTTTGGACATTATTAATAATATTTTTTTCACTATGTGACACAATATTATTTCTGTTTCGCCAAGTAAACTCATTTCCATTATTTTTTCTGCACGCTAATGCTCTCTTTTGTAAGTGTTTGTAAAAAAAAAAAAAATTACCATTAAGTATTGGCATCAGAAATAAATCTTTATAATATATTGAAAAATATGTAAAATCTGCAGAACGTTGTTTGAAATGTTAGGAAAACTCGATGTTTATTATCATGATTACATGCATAAATAGCAAGATAATAGGATATTTTTATTTTTCAAAGATTCTCTACAATTTCATAACCGACCTTCACAGCAACGAGAATTTTAATATACTTGTCGCACAAGCGCTTTCGAAATTGTATTTACGGAAGTCTATTAAAGCATTCGATTATAAGAGGTGTATGAATAAAGCAAACGGAGATGCTTCATAAATCATATTTACAAGATCCTTATGAAGGCGGAAGGAATAATTTCATTCAGAAAATAATTGATGCATTAAGCAATAATAATTGATACGCCTGGTTTCGCCGAGACGAATGATAAACAATGATAGACATTAGCATTAAGCCAACACGCAACCGATTGTAACCGATTGTCAGAACACAGACGTAATACCCAGTCATGATATATTATTATCGTAAACCAGAAATTGTTAATATCGAAGCAAAACTAATTCTTTGTGTAGTTTATATAATCCACGGTATGATGCAATTCATTGTTTAATTGAAGCATCTGATTACATATGACATATGATATCTATCGCTACTAACAATGTTACGCAAGATTCTTATGATACATGCATTTTTTGCAAATTTATTCCTCAATCGAGGAATACATTTGCCACACCTCGTTTTTAAATTTAAATCAAGTTTTTAGATAGTTTTCAAGTTTTGGGAGTAAATCCTTGTATTAGTCTTAACTGTTCTTTCTTGTACGTAGTTTGCCGTTTCGTACTGTTAAAATTCATTCTATGTCATTCTGTGTTTTCATCGTGGTTGTTTGTCGAGTGAACGTCTTTTATTTGTCGACATCCGCCCGCGTCGCTGTCTTTCTCTTTCGATTTACATAAATTCTGCGGCACGGATTTATGTGTCTATTACATATTCATTAGGGATTAAACGTGCTTGGTGATCCATCGAATCATTAAAATGCCGCGAATATTACTCAGAAAGAAGAAATATTTGTCAAACAGAAGGCTTAGATTTTTTAAACTCGATTTTAATTTTATTATCCATATATACGAATCTTATCTTTGTCAACGTTATTATCAATCGTCCGTGAATAAATGTCACTTTCGTAAAATGTTTTCGTGTGAATGTACGTCGTCATAATATTTATCAGAATGTTTGCACAAGCTGCTCATATTATCGCAATCTCGCGTTGTCAAAAGTAAGGAGGGAATAATATTTAAGTGACTCATACGACAAGACGACTTTGATATTCTACGTGCCGAAGCGATCGTCTGTTTTACTTACGAAGGTGAGATATCGCGATAAGAGGCGGTTATTAATTGCGAAACGATCGATCAAACCAATTCACGTAGCACATCACAAAAATGTACATTATACTCACGTCGGTCATGTTACTGCGGAATGCATAGTGCGAATGTAGCAAACGATGCAGATATTTAAGGTCCGATCGGGACTGATCGACATCCAACTGTAGATACGCCAGACAATATTGTCCTCGAATGCCATTCTTGCCCTCGATACCAACGCACTCGTCGAAATCACCGAATTGATTAATATTTCCGTTGAGCAGACCGGAAGGTATTTTCGCGGTCGCGTCATACACTAAAAGATCAATAAATATTATGAAAATCGAAAAAGTTAGACGAGCCCTTCTCTGACTATGACGGCGATTTTATTGTGAGCTAGTCAGTTTCTTACGCAAGTGATTAAATTAAGTGATTACATCAGAATAATGGTATAAAAATATATTTAGATATTGTGTATAATTATTTTGACATAGTCTTTATATAATTTTTTCCTTTATAGAAAATTATATTAGATTTACTAATAATTTGATCTTACATTAGATACTTTCAAGAAATTAATCTCTTACATTTTAAAAATTGCTTGTGTAAAATACACTATTTTAATCAAACTAGATTATAAGATCTCGGAATTAACATCCGCGCTTTTGCGTTGAAGTGTTAATACGATTAAAGAAACGATTATAAACTGATATCGATGTATATACGTACATTGTAAGATAAATATTCAAACAAAAAGAGAAATCTGGCACCGACCAATATCTCGAAGTAACCATTGCCAAATCTCCCAGTCGCGTACAGAATAGCGACTTAATGTTCACTTACAAACGCTTTATATAATAATACTAGTCGATTGTGAAAGATCATTAAATATAAGTTTATTACATTTTCGATCATTTTCAATCACTTTAAGTTTGATTAATTATATTTCAAGGAAGAATTTCTTAGACATAACGCAATTTCTATAATTACTGCTCCCATAATTTAATTTTAGTAATTTCTGGCTGATATTACTTGGATTATGTTTCTGAAAATATTGAAAATAGATGATTGACTTACTTTTGAGAGCCCATAGTGTAAACTTCGCGAGTTCCTCGTGAAAGATATCAGAATGTTGTTTGCATTCTGCGCTGACGTCACCTGCACCAGGATCATAAGCAGGAAGGAAATGCAACAATCTACGTGCCTCGAGATCGATTTCTTCGGGGAAATTTTCTGAAAAAAGTCAAGATAAGAATCTTTTTATTATCTCCGATATCGAAAATCTCGAATATTAGCATATTAAGAGAGTTATGTCGTATTAAAATATGCTCACACTTATTTAAGAAAGACTTTAAGAATCTCTCGTTCTTTTCTTCTAGAATTAATATATCGCGTTGGGGATTCACGTAAATCGCATGAAAACAGCTACGTGCCTCGGCTTCAAACGTGAGAGCAAGAAATTTTATTGACGTAAAACCCCGCTCGTCTGACATTGACATGATAATGCGAGAGAGCCATTAAGATACCTCCCGACGTGCCTGTCGTTCGTAAACTGCGTTGTAATTTACGATAAAACGGAAACAAAATTTTCGGATAAGGCCGACGCACGAGTCGATCAATATAATTCCAGTCGATGTTAATAGAATAGTTATAAGAAATACTGACTCATAGATGATATAAGCACTAATATAATATGTATCTGAAATATGATTCAATCTCTACTTTGCAATATTTATATGTGACATGGATTGATTTTTTCAATTTGAAATTTTGTCGCTCTTTTTTTATCTTTCTCCTTCTTTTTTATATATATAAAATTTAAAAAAAAACTTTAATTCACGAGGCAAGATTTTTACAATAAGACGAATTGAAAATTCATTTCATAGACGAAATGATGAATTAATTTGGCAAAATTGAGCGTGGTAAGGATATGTAAGGTCGTTGATCTATACCGAATGACATCACAACTTGTTAAAAAATTAGAGAAGGTTAACATGCGAATCTTTTTTTCTCGAAGAATTTTCAGAGTGTCATTGAACGGGCATTATGCATAATTAGTTAGCTCGAAAAGAAGAATTCTTAAAAATTTATAATATGTGAAGAATGATTATATTATATAATCTGTGACAATAAGATAGAATCGGACTTTAATGCGTCATAGGAAGCACGCTATGCATTTTTTACATTCGCGAAAGAAATAAAAAGTTTTGTACGCGTTTATATGTTCTTATATGCGTTTCTGGGAATGATTAAAATTATTCTTTTTCTAATATTATTTTCTATACATCTCTCTCTTTCTCTCTCTCTCTCTCTCTCTCTAAAAATTAATTTATGATTTTTTAATAAATGACACAATATAGTGAATGAAGCAACTGTGATATTATTTTATATATATATATATATAAACAGAAAATTAATACGTTACGAAACGCACGATAATAATCGGCAGCGTTAACTTGTCGTGTAAATGCGGTGATATTACATCTTCTATCGCGGTTTACGATGTCTTGTTGTACAAGTAATTAACGCGTAGACGAGGAGGATCAGATACAAGTCTATGTATCTTCATTAGCTTGTTATTAAACGTGTTCCTAGGCAGTTGCATAGCTAACTGGTTTAAAAAACAAAATAATTTAAAATTTATTCGTACTTAGAAGAGAACATCTCTTTTTATAACATTTACTGGTAAAACTTATTAATTTTATTTATATCCTTTCTTGTTACTAAAATTGTGCAATATGTGTGTATAATTTTTTGCAACAAAAATGTGTCTTAAATTATTCTATCTGTTGAAAATAAATATCAAAATGTATTCTCTATTAGATATGGAGATTATTCAGTATTAAAGTATATTACATAATTCGGCAAATCAGCGTACAGCAAACGATAAGAATTTATGAAAAAAATTATCGTCTGTTATAAGTTTATTCAGATAAAGAATTAAAAACATCATATATATTTGATATTGCAAACGAAATGTTTATCAAATCAATGCCACGTTACGAAACATTGTATAAATATTGGATGAGAATCCTCTCTTCTCCTTTAATTGTATTATGTATGGGTGCATTCCATAGAACGCACAGAGGTGTCCTTGTTTATCCGTTACACGCACTTTCACGTATGCACAGTCATATAAATCACGAACCTGAGGTAATTGACACCTTTAATCGAAGGTCACGTACCGACTTGCATCTCGAACTCTCGTTGGAGCATCTTATTGTTCAAAATACGACTCAATGCGCTCAAGAGAAATTACGGATTAACTATTTATTCTTCTCAAAATCTTGACCTTTTGCGAGATATACTTTTGTTTAAAACTCGATTTTATCACTTCCTTTTATTCTATTTAATTATATTTTATTTTTGTTTAATCATATATTCATGCCATTTAATCTATTTTATGTTATTTTATATTTCCCGAAAATTTTGATAAGTTTTAACTATACCGATCTGGGGTATCTTCATTTTTTCATAGAAACAGTTCAGTTCTTGCAAAGGCAATGTATGGTTAATATAGATTTAATTATTTTAATTATGACACTTTTAATTATGGTTTCGAGATTTTGGATATTAGAGATTTCAGGGATTACAGATTTGCAAGAGCAGAATACATTAGGTACTTCTTCTTTTCGCAAAATGTTAATATAGTACATGGTCGTTAAACAGCTAATTATGCGCTGTAAATAAATTTAATCGAATTTTAATCAGCCACCTTGATTCGACAATTTGTGATCGACCCATTTCTCAGAAATTTTTCTCATATTTTTTTTATTCGTAAACTGCGTTGTAATTTACGATAAAACGGAAACAAAATTTTCGGATAAGGCCGACGCACGAGTCGATCAATATAATTCCAGTCGATGTTAATAGAATAGTTATAAGAAATACTGACTCATAGATGATATAAGCACTAATATAATATGTATCTGAAATATGATTCAATCTCTACTTTGCAATATTTATATGTGACATGGATTGATTTTTTCAATTTGAAATTTTGTCGCTCTTTTTTTATCTTTCTCCTTCTTTTTTATATATATAAAATTTAAAAAAAAACTTTAATTCACGAGGCAAGATTTTTACAATAAGACGAATTGAAAATTCATTTCATAGACGAAATGATGAATTAATTTGGCAAAATTGAGCGTGGTAAGGATATGTAAGGTCGTTGATCTATACCGAATGACATCACAACTTGTTAAAAAATTAGAGAAGGTTAACATGCGAATCTTTTTTTCTCGAAGAATTTTCAGAGTGTCATTGAACGGGCATTATGCATAATTAGTTAGCTCGAAAAGAAGAATTCTTAAAAATTTATAATATGTGAAGAATGATTATATTATATAATCTGTGACAATAAGATAGAATCGGACTTTAATGCGTCATAGGAAGCACGCTATGCATTTTTTACATTCGCGAAAGAAATAAAAAGTTTTGTACGCGTTTATATGTTCTTATATGCGTTTCTGGGAATGATTAAAATTATTTTTTTTCTAATATTATTTTCTATACATCTCTCTCTTTCTCTCTCTCTCTCTCTCTCTCTAAAAATTAATTTATGATTTTTTAATAAATGACACAATATAGTGAATGAAGCAACTGTGATATTATTTTCTTAATGATATATCAATATTTTTTCTAGATATTATAAAATATTGAAAAGAATTGATTTTTTAGATATTTATAGGATTTTCTGATACTTATAGGCTTTTTCAATAATATACATGTTACATACTGTATTGGTGAACTCAGATTGAATTGATTTCAAAAGCGCAGACATGTGCACGACAATATCTAACTATAGAAAGTTGCAACATGGTCTCGCACAGTTATTGCAGTTATTGCATCACGGATGCATAAATTTTGCATTGAGAGGTTCATCAAATATACTAAATGATAAATGGTATGATCTATGATTTCTCTAATTCTCTAATTATATATATTTCTGATACTAATATATTTTTTGTAATATTTATTGATAATCAATTAAATTATTATTTTTCGATCAAAAATTGCGAGCTCGTGATAGTTTTTAAGCTTTATGATCAGTCTTTCCGTAATAGCGGACGATCGACCTGGTTTCCATTGTTATAACATGATACAATTTTTTCTCGCAATAATATGTGGCAATTGAATTCAAAATAAAGCCGGACGTTTAGAGAGAACGAGCACGACGTGATGTCGAAACCACGACGACGGTCTCCAAGCAAACGAAATCACTTAGCATCGTGGTTTGTTTGCTCGATTAACTATGTAACCGCATAAAATACAATACGCGTAAGTACAGTGCAGAGGGGACAGATAATGCGCATATTTTCACGTACATTATCGTTATTTTATCACGTTATTTAATGTTTTATACATGTATTATGTTTATAAATTCTTTGACTTATATGTATGCGCAACAAGTTCAGAATTTGAATACAGCAATGTATCATAACAGAAATGACAGCTATTGCGTAAGAGTTGCACAATAAGCGTTTATTTGTTTTGCTGTTAAATCGCTGATTCTATCAAAGGAAATAAGTGATAAGATAATCTCGTATTTTCGCGCATAGAGATGAATTAAAATTGAGTGCTATATTAAAATTAACATATTAATTGTCAAACAAGGCGCTGAGAATAGAAGGCAAATAAGTGACAAGAATAGTATTTATATGAAAGCTAAAACTACTTTCACGGAAACATCTGCTATTGAATTTTTTGTCGGTACTTAATTGAAATCTTTTCACAAAACGACATTTATGTGTGTGTCTGACTTTCTTAGCAGTTCTCACGTATGTAGGTCTCGTTATAACTATTCTAATAATAGTGACCTTGAATCTTCAGACTACCGTGTTCACAACCTTCCTTCGGTCTATGGATAATAATGCTGCGTCGTATACCACGTGCGTTGCGTAATTAATGTGCGGTAATATTTACTTTCCTTACGAGTCCACGCTTCTCATAAAGAGCCGCGAACAAAGTCGTGGCAGTCCTAGACGAAATTTGCCGCAATGTGTATCAGTTAACAACGTATGATGTGGCAATAAATGAGGTTGCAACGCGCGTTGCAAACAACGACTTACAAAGCCAATTGTATTAACATTTCTGCTAATTCTGATTAATTCACCTCCTTACTCCATCTACGGCTAATAAATAGATTTATAATCCAAGGAAGAACACGATAAATTTTGTTAATGAAAGATTAGTTTATATATTATACCATTATTATACGCTTTCGTAGTGAATGCTGTGGCAATTAATAATGTTAATAGTAATATTGTAATATTATTAATCAAAAACAGTTTATTTTTTTCTAGAAAAAAACGCTTTAAAACAAGCAAAACATATCTAAATTAAAATAAATTAAAATATATATTAGTAATGAAAAAGGATTAAAATATGATGATATATATATATATATGTAATATAAAACGGTATAATATAAAATACGAAAGTCGAATATTTTATAGTTAATCAATGAAATCTATTAATTTTTTTCTTAGGTCATTAGAAATCTTATTAAATGTTGTTTTTTATTCGCGATGTCATTATTAAAATTATTGATGTTCTTATAATTCTGTAATTTAGCACTTTAAGACGTCTGATTGCTGTCGCCTGTAGCCATAAAAAACCCGAATTAAAAAGTGAATTATAAAACACAAATTGAACCATTGATAAATTATGATCAAGGTCTCGGATTTTTTTTTTTTTTGGGAAACCTGTCAATTGCTGTTGAACTATAGAGCAAAGTACGAATCAAGGTGGATTGCATTCCCTTTTCAGCGGAAAAAAATAAAAAATATGAAACATATATGTATATAAAGATACGTAAAAGAAAAGGTAGCATGGCATTCAAAAACCGGTTCTTCGACAATTTTAGAGTGATAATCCTTTGTTCAATGCTGAAGTCCGATCCTTGACTAACCGGAAATATCTTTTTATAGATTGTATATAATGATTCCGGTCTAACCGGATCTCGTTAATTTATATGTACGTGTATGTGTCTCGGAAAAATAGCTATATATCTCATCGCTATAAAGACTAATTTACTATATAGATTGCATGTTTTATAAAAAAGTGTGTGTTTTAAATTTATAAATATATATCATTTTTATCTCCTATTTTCACATCGTATATTATGACGTTTTCGAAATTTTTTATATCAGTAAATATATATTTAAATATTGTCTTAATGTGTGTGTATGTCTTCAAAAGATTTTTTTTTCAATATTTTGTTAAATATCTTTTGTTATATTGCTGTCTTTCCTTGCAATATTTTTATTATCAAAATCAATGATTTTTATTTATCAAATGCAAGAATAAAATTGCGATATCGACTTATATTGCACCATCAAGATATAAGCCATTCGTCTAATCCGTGAAGCGTAAATATATAGCCAAAAAAACTTTCAAACTGACATAATCTTTTCAATATTGAGAAAGATATCAATCATCAATTGTGAACGGGGACACATTATTATATATTAATCCTATATAAAAAGAGAAACTATTTTGGATAAAGTTTATGCAAAATTTGGACGCTATATGTCAACGAGAAATTTTTTGGATCTTTTAATAATTGACGATATCAAGCTGTTTTTTAATTTCAAATTTTTTATGCGTAAATCAATATTCTTTTAACGGATATGACCGCATTCATGACTCATCTGGTTAATATAGCAGTGTGTAATTTTTTTTTTTTTAATGGCATTACGTGTGCGGTTTGTCGATGGGAAAAAATTAAATCAATTAAAAACATGATAAAAGTCAAGTATTCATTAATATCATTTCCAATTACACGCGATATCTAACACAACTATAAATTTTTAAAATAACATAGTAATTATTTTCGCATTCAAACCAAACCATGAATATTTTTCAATGCTAATATAATTTAATATTTTTTGTTAAAAAAACACGAAATAAAAAAAGAGAATAAAATATAAATTATAGTAAAAAATTCAACACAATGCTAAAAGTCAGATGTAAAAATGTGATCGATTGATACTAGTTTCTTTATAAAAACCAAGTTTGCTTCGTAGGAGTTTATTTTATTTTGCGGGCATTGTAAAATGTTTTATTGAAATATATAAAGATCCTATGGATAGAATACCATTCATCATGGTCAGATTTTCATGTCGCGTCAATAACTATATGTCCATAATTTGCGTGCAGAACTGGTCGTCGAATGAGTCGTTTAGGATTGATAAGATGTATGCAATTGTATTTTTGTCGTGTTTCGTCAAAATGCAGTCTCGTCGCATGAAAAAAGTAATAATTTTTGTTATTAATAGGTGTGAATGAATCCATCGGCGGGCATAATGATATGAGAATGCAATATATATTTTTATTGAGATAATGTTATGTATATTAATAGAATACGTATTAATAGGAAACGCTGTGTTGTGAAATTATTAATATTACATCTAATATATCCACACACAAATTTTGCATTATATCAAATCTGTTTGTGGTGCATTATGAATTTTATCCCAAAAATTACCTAGAATAATAAATTTCAGATACTTAATAATAAAGTATTCATCTTTCATACGATTTTAATATAATATATTAACATTAAGCGCAAAACACAACGATTCATATGATGAATGACATATGTTAAAACACAATATATATATATATATATATATATATATATATATATATATATATATATATATATATATATATATATATATATATATATATATATATATATATATATATATATATATATATATATATATATATATATATATATATATATATATATATATATATATATATATATATATATATATATATATATATATATATATTGT